CTACATATATGTAGCAAGGCAATTTGTGTGTCTTATGGTATTAGATACATTGTGGGACCAATTTTCTATAGCACATTGAGGGGACGGGCTGCTCCTTGTTGGGGTTAGGGTTATGAATGAGCTCCTAATTGTTATTGTCAGGGTATGGGCTACAGTTGGGCTGTAGAAATGGGTTAGAAATTAATTGAAGTCAATGGAAAGGCCCCACAAAGATAGAGTGTTCACTGGTGTGTGTGTGTGTGTGTGTGTGTGTGTGTGTGTGTGTGTGTGTGTGTGTGTGTGTGTGTGTGTGTGTGTGTGTGTGTGTGAGAGAGGGGAGTTTGAAGGAAATGTGTGATCTTAGTAAAATTAAATGTCTTTCCAAAAGTAACTGAGAGTTCAGTCTGTGCTTTACTTTAAGTCTGTGCTCCCGTTTCAGTGCTCTGTAAAAAACAGTATGCCTTGAACTTTTTCACATGTATATATGGTTTTTCTTCCAAAAATTAGAATTCTACCCTGATGTTCAACCATCTGAGCATCTGTTTCAACCATCTGTTTGGACCTTTGCAGCTCCTCCAGAGTTCCTATGGCTTCCCTACCATAACCTCTTATTTGACCTGATATTTTAGGTAGGCTTACCAGACTTTTTCTATTTTTCACTGATGGATTAAAGAGCTTTGTGAAATATTCAAATCTTTGAGTATTTTTTTTTATAACCTGACTGCTTTAAATGTCTCCACAACTTTCTCTCAGACCCTTCTGCCTCAGTCTTTATGATGCAGTGTATCACCATTACTCTCTTACAGACGTCTAAGGCCTTCAGAAAATGTTTATAATGAGCTTAAGTTACATATCGGTAAACTTAAGGTGACTACTGAAGACCCACTGGAAAACATTGAAAAGAACTGTGGAGGGGGCTTACCGGTAGCTTAAATGCACAAGTGACTTTTTAGATTTTGATTTGCCAGAGAACAAATCTTTTTACTACAATTAACAATAATTCAAAACAATTCTTTCTGTGGGCCACTCACATAAAACCTTAACAAAATTCATTGTTTGTGGGTGTGATCTAGAGAATTGTGAAAAGGTTAAACATTTCCAAGACAAATAGTTAGTTTATATCCTATAATTTTCCCAGTAATATGTGTGTGAAGCTTTATAAAAAATAAAGATTAAGGGCTGCATACAAGGCAAACCGTTGGTCATAAATATGGAAGAAGGGGAGCGGTGGACCTTAGACTCACTCAGATAATGATTCCCTTTCATCAGTGTTTGCTCAGTTAAGGCCTTTTTTATTAAATCAATGGGAAAGTGCTGAAGAAAATTTTCATCAGTCTCCCCAGCTCTGCAGCGGAGTAAAAATAAAAAATAAGGTATTAAAATCCACTTTGTTGAAATGATAATGGCTGCTGGCACCTCCTCACGCCTCACAGCACCAGCTATCGCCTCAATTTGAAGTTCCTTCCCAAAATCTCCCTTTTTTGTTCACTTGTGAAGTTCAGGCTGTGCACTGGCCTGTCACTGTGTCATTTCTGTTTATATAGCCTGGTTCTGGTGCTGGGGCACCAATTCTGCGCTTGACTAAGCTCACTGAGACCCACAGCCCAAACAAGTTTCCCTTCCAGAGTGGATTCAGACAATGCCTGCTAAATTCCTATGATTTTTACCACCGATTTTCTTTTTTCATGGAAGGAATCATTGCACAGAGTGATGGGTTATGATTGGAGTTATCCTTTGTGAAAAGCACTTCAAACCCTAAAAGCCAAGTTAAATTGGATTTATGAACCACAGACTTGTATAATCCCTGCTATTTCAGGTCAGTTTATTTAGGATGACAGCTATTGTTACCATGTGGTCACACTCAGAGCTTTGAAAATGTGAGAGTTTAGTCCAAATAGATTCAGCTATTGATCACATGAAGCATTAAGTTGACTTAATAAGACAAGAATACACACAAGGATTGACTTCATGTGCTGCCACACTTATACAGTGTAAATTTACTTTTTCCATACTAAAGCCAATGACACTATTTGATATCCACAGTTGTCACAGATTATTAATGGAACATGTATTCCCGCTAACAGATTTTTTGTGTTATTGCCCACCATCCACATCTAGTTTGGACTCACGCAGGCTTTCCCTGCTGGAAACTGGGAGTAAAATCCGGAAAAAAATTATAGTGTGTTTCATTTCATATTCAGTTTTTGCCTAATTGAGTAAGATTCTTCTCAACATCTACAAGTTCTTTTTTATGCATTGCAACTTGCTGGGGACAATGGCTTTAGGATGAAGTACCTAAGGGAAGCTGTACGCTATGATTAGCATTAAAACAAACTCAGGTCTAATGGTATTTAAAATTTGAGGACTTACAAATAACATCTCAACCTTTTCTTTGCTAAATTTTCGTTCATCTGTGAAAATCAGGAGTTTGCTGATTCACACATCAGCTGATCAGCTATTGTCTATAGAACTGCCCGGAAATCCCATTTGCTAATGAGACATGTGTCCAATAAAATGTTTGAGTATTATGCTGCTGTTAATTTGTTGACATAGATTTGTCCACAGCACCATAAAAAGTTAAGGCCTGTAATCATTTTAGCTGATTTATAAGTGACACAGCTTATTAAAAACAGCCTAATTCTGAGATCCTGCAAATGTATCCAGATTTTCTGAAAAAGACCAACACAAACTGATGCATGACTATGCAAGTGGGTTTACAAGCATGTTTACAACTGTTTTCCTACAAAAAGATGAACTTTCCCTGAAGTATCGTGTCTCCTGCAGTCTTCTAACAGCTTTCCTTCCAGATTAGGTTCACAACATTGTTTGTGGCAAACAACATAGATGACTTCTTGTGACTTTCTCTAGACACTATCATTCAATTTGCCACTCTTCCCTAAAGCTAACATTTGTCAAGTGTTTGACACACAGTCGCCTCATCAGCTACTTATTCTTCCACCTGAGCAGTAAATCTCTGCAGCTCCTACAGAGTAACCATGTTGATAAATGCTCTCCTTACCCATCCTTTCAGATAAAGTAGATAGCACTGCCGTGGTAGGCCAGCCAGACTCTTAAAGTTGATTAAATGGAGCTCTATAAGAGGTTAAACCTTTAGGTTGTTGTTTTATAACATAACCCTATTTAAAAATTATGCTGTGGGTTCTGATACGTTTTTAAATCAAACCTCTGAGGGTTTCACAGATGGGCTGGATTTATACAAAGACTGAAGTTCTCACAGGAGAATTCTATGGATTTATGAAGTGTTTCGGAAGCACTGGACTGATTTTATGGTTTTAAAAGAAAAGATGGATAAATACAAATGCA